GGAAGCCAGCTGCCCGCTCCCGCGTGCACACCCCAGACAGGTGAAATGGGTCTCAGCAAGAACGAGTGTGGGTGTTCACAGTCACTGCGGCCAGTGGGAGGGAACACCCCGCTGATGTGCGGAAAACAGGACGAGGCCCAGCCATCCAGGGGCGTCGTTCTCAGCCCCAACAAGGAACGAAGCTCAGATTCAGGAGCCTTGGAGACGGGTCGGGCAGAAGGCAGACACGAAATGACAGCCAAGATGCAGGTGCATAAACTGAGCAGGTGCACAGGGAGGAAGGGGCTGCATGGGGCTGGGGACAGCATCAGGGGAGCGTGCCACCCCCGGTGAAAAGCTGATGCAAATAGGGGCCTGGCCAGAGGGCACGCAGCGGACGCCTCTTTGGGAGGCAAGGAAAGAAGGCTGAGGCCGTCTAGGGGCACAGCGTGGGGGCATGGCTGGAGGGGATCGCCTTGGGGTCCACATTGCTGTGGCCTGGAGCTCCTTCCTGTGGCGACCTAACACTGGCCACCTCCCCAGCAGCGACAAGGGGCAGCCCCAGAGCCACAGACCCCACGACCACAGACACACAAACGTCTTGAGACAGCTCCCAGCCCTGGCCGCCTGGGCAGCCCCCCGGCGCCTCTGTTCCTTCTGGGACACGTCCCGGGTCTGGTTCTGGCCACGATCATGCTGTTCCCTTCGCTGTTTAGTCACAGTCCCCACTGCCACCCTAATTCCTGCAGGTCACCTGGCTTCAGAAGAGAGCACCATGACAAATATGCACCCGTGTGGCTCATCCACGTGCCCACCAGGGTCCTTGGTGAGGGCGGACAGACCGTGTCCCCCATTCCGTGGCCACCCAGTCTCAGGGGCAGGGACTCTGCTCCCGGGAAGCAGCCAGACTCATGGCTCCAGCACACCTGGCTGTGTCTGGCGGCGTCCACACGGCTCTAAAGGAAGCTCCGCACACAGCAGGCTCCCAGGGGCCGTTTGTGTGCCGAGCTCTGCTCTCTCCCTGCTGCAGCCTCTCCCCTGCACCTCCCTGACTACGGGGCGCTGACCTCTCCCGCCACAGTCAACAGAGACACATTTAACGCCCCTGTGCGAGGCCACCCAGGATCCCCAACACCTGCTTTCCCTCCCAGAAGTGTCCCGGTCCGGGCGATAAATCAAACAATTAATCAATCAGGTGGGTGCAGTCCCTGACGCCACATCCTGGGCCAGAAGCCTGTGTGTGGCTGCGTGTGCCCACGGCCTCTGTTATCTGTTCGTTCATCAACAAACGTTGGCTGAGTCAGGCATGGCCTTATGGCCACAACACGGAACAGAGAGGCCAAATCTTTGGCCACCAGTGAGGAAGAGAGACAACCAGCAAACCCCAGACTGATTATACCAACTGGCGGGTCCGACGGGTGAAGGCCGTTGCTGGGCAGGTGGTGTGGAGACAGACCTGTGTGCGTAGAGGACACAGATGGGGGAGTGGGGGGGGAGGGCAGGGCCACAGTGAGGACTCGGGGGTCGGGGCAGGAGGAGCCTGGTCTGGGGGGTATTCCATGGGGCCCTGTGGCTGCCACGTGGAGATCACCCCAGAGGCTTCTGGGGTAGTACGGGGGACCAGTCGGAGGGCTGCCGGAATGTTCCAGGCAGAGCTGATGGGGCCTTGCTGGGTGTGTGTGGAAGGTGGGGCGGGGACTGGGACTGGGAGAGGAGTAAGTCAGTGGACAGCGGCATGGAGTCTGTGCCCAGAACAAGCAGCTCTGGGCGCCCTCAGGGGCCCGCTTTTTCCCTTGGGAAGTTGGAGCTGTGTGGCCGGTCAGATTTTCCAGGCCGGGCACCACAAGGCCTCAAGTCTCATGTGGTTTTCTCGGAATGTGGACTGATGCTCCGTCATCCGGAGAGGTGGGGTCTGTCCCCTCCCGTGGCTCAGGCCTGCCCAAGACCTTGGCAGGAGCCGGCCCACCTGGTGTCTGAGATGAGGTCGCAGCAGCGGTGCGGTTTGTCCCACTGGCTGCCACGTGAGGACACCCAGGCATGTGAGTGAGGCCCCTCCAGAGCCAGTACCACCCCCCCCCCCGGGCTAGGCTACCACCTGGCTGCAGGTCCTGGCAGCCGCCAGGGGAGAGCCATGTGGCCGAGCCTGGGAAAGCCCAGACACGGGACAGTAGTAGATCACTGTCACTGCTGTAAGCCATAAGCTTTGGGTGACCTGTCACAGCGTCTGGCAGATGCCCAGGGAGAGCGGGCAGTTGGCACCATGGTCTGTGTGCCTGGGCTTCCTCGCATTCCTCCAGAGGTACCATGGTCCTGCCACCCTTTGTAGGCTCAGGGAGGGATGGCAGAGCCAGCCAGGGGCCGATTTCTATCTGGGGACAGTGGCTGCAGGCATGCGTTGCTGGGAGAAGCCGGCCGGCTATGGCTGTGGCTCTGTCACCCGTGTTGCTGCTGCTTCGGGCCCCAGAGCGTGGAGGAATGCCTGCTCACCATCTTTGGGGATCCCATGTGCATCGTCAGGTGGCTGCCTCCATATTCACACCCCCCTGGACACGGGGAGAACCACAGGAGAGTTCGGCCCCCTGGATTCCACTCCCAGGCCCTGTGCCCGCAGAGCCCACCCCTGGCAGCTCACTGCCCCTCTTGGTGCCCAAGCTTCCTCACCTGGACAACAGACGCGACATTCCCCTCCTTCATGACATTGAGCGGATCCAAGAGTTTGTATTTGTAAAGTGCAGAACAGCCGCATCACTGTGATGATTCCCTGGGGTGACGAGTGCCCCAGAGCCCCCCAAGCCCCCAAGCTGCTCCCAGGGGTGGAGGCGGGAGAGGCTGGGGCGCGGCCGAGATCGGAGTCTGGTCTTGGGGCGCCGTGCCCCAAGCTTGGTGTGTTTCCACCCCCACCCCTGAGTCTGCAGGTGGAGGCCCCACCCACCCTGGTGGGATGGCACTGGGGGGGCTTCTAGGCAGTTAGATATGATGAGGTCATGGAAGTGGGGCCCCCATGGGACCCGTGTCCCCAAGCGGAGATCAGGGCTCACGATTTCCCGTGTGAACACAGCAGGGACTCGGCTCTCACCGCACTGGCGCTTAGCAGGACCTGACGGCCGACTTCAGGCAGCAGAGCAGTGTCTGCTGTGTGGCCCTCTGTGGTGCCTCCGGTGCCTGAGCTAAGCCTGTGAGTCAGCTTCCCCACATGCAAGGTGGGAGCGGAGTGGCTGCGTTCTCACCTGGGGTCCCCCGGTGGGAGTGCTTTGTAAACCTGCTGCCCGGGCACAGAGGGGTGCGTGTGCCCTCACGGGGAGGGGCGGAGGCAGCCAGCACCGAGGCCTGTGTGCGCTGCAGGTGGGCTCCTTGTCCTCACAGGTGTGGGCCTGTCTCTGGCCTCCCTCGGGCGGGGGGGATCTCCAGCTCTGCCCCATGGCTGCTGGTCCCCCGGGGGGCACAGCCTGTCCCAGCAGAGCCAGCGGAGGTCGGCTGAAAATCCAGAACTCAAAATGTCTGCGCGTCTAAAGGGGGACTCAGTTAAAATGAAAGACAGTGTGGGTCGCATCATTCTGGGACGTTCCTGCCATTTTCTTCTTCCCATGGCACAGAACTGGCGGGGAAGTTTTAGGAAAGAGCATTTGGCTTGAACACAGCACTAGACCACCACCCACATCCAGAGCCCTGGTCCTTGCAGACCTGGTCCCTGCCAGCTGTGCGCCCCGGGGACTGGCAGACGCTCTCTGGGCCATTTCCCCACCTGCACATGGGTCTCGCTCGGGTGGGCTTCCCCAAAGCTGCAGAAGGAACTGGGGCCACACAGGAGGCATCCTTAGTGGGCAGGAAGCAGCCGGTCCCCCAGGGAGGCCTGTCCCTCTTGTCAGGTCTGATAGGCAGAGACCCCTCCCAGCCCCAGCACCAGATGGCAGACAGACGGGGCACGCGGCCTGGCTCTGGAGCCTGCCCGCCCACTGGCGGCAGACACATGTCCACGTCCAGGGTGGGCTCTGGACCTGCCATTGCTGTCTGGGTGTCAGGGAGGGATGGGGCATGAAGTCCTAGGAGACTGTGCTCTCCTCCGGGAACATTTCCACCTCTCCCTGGAGCCAGTGGCAGGGAAGTGGGGGCTGGATGAATGTTTTACCAGCAGGGAATCCCCTGTGGGCTGGCCAGGGTCTCCCCACCCCTGCTGCTCCCTCCCTGGCCTGCCTCTTACGTCTGACTGCAGGACCAGCTCCTCCCTTTGTTCCTGTCCTGCTCAGGGCAGCCTTTCGGGATGCCATGCATCACACTGACAGAGGTGGGGGCTGGCGCACATGGTGGCCCCACTGTGCTCCGTTGGCAGGGCAGGGCTGAAAATCTGAATTGCTACCAGGTCCAGGTGATGCCGATGCTGTTGGGGGACGCTTGTTCTAACAAGGCCCCTGCAGGCAGTCTGTGCACTCACCTTAGGGCCTCTGGGAATCTCTGGAATCAGAGGAACCACCACCCCCTCAACCCCTGGGGCTGGGGCAGGACCTCACATCTAGAGCCATAGTGGGCTTCCATCAGGAAGGGTGGAGCATCTGGGGGCAGCCACCGGCGTCCCTCCTGCATGAGGGGTGCAGTTGCCCCTCTCTGCTTCTCCAGGTGGCTGCCCAGCTGCCTCCTGTACTTCCTGTTGGGTGGCTCCCTGATTCTGGCAGCTGGTGTCCCAGTTGCTTCACTGAGAATGGGCACCAGCCACGGGAGAAGCGTGTGCACGCAGGGAGGGACCATTAGTGAGCACAGGGCAAATGTGCCAGAGCACCTGGCCCCTACCTGCAGGAAGCAGTCTTGTTTCCCAGGGTGGGCCTCAGCTCCCCCACCTAGGAAACTGGAAACGGGTGTAAGGACAGGAGGACAGGGAGGGTCAGGAGGTGCTGGACAGGAACGTGTCAGAGACCAGGGGAGGGAGTGAGCACCACACAGGCCTTCCAAAGTGCATAAGGGCCTGGGCCCATTTGGCACGTCTCCCCCCAGGGCCACCTGCAGTGCATCAGTGAGCCCAGGCAGAGCCGTTAGGAAGCAGGGAGAGGTCATGTTTGTCTGAAACACATCATGGGGGAGGCCGACCTTAGCCCCAGCTCGGGGGACTCCTCTGTGAGTCAGAGGCTGCTCTGAGCAAGGCAACCACAGGCCCATAGGTAGGGGTGGGGCATAGGCCCCTGGGATGGGCGGAAGCACCGGGGGCAGCAGTGTGGGTATGAGATGGGCTTGATGGTGCTGCTGGTGGGCTCGGTGCAGGCTGTCATTCCCAGGGCCGCGAGGCTGTGGGCAGTGTGGCCCAAGGGACGCCCTCCCAGCCCTGCCTTGCTGGCTCAGCAGTTGAGTTCTGCGTGATCCAGCTGCTCACAGGCAGGAAGGACAGCTCCTGTCCCCAGCTGGGCCTTGATGAAGCCTTCCCAGCTCACGGCTGGCAGTCGGGCCACCTCGGTGCCAGAAAAGACAAGACAGGTGGCTGCTCCTCTGTGGCTGAACAGCTGGATGGCAGCGTCCTCTGCTGGCCTCTCTCCAGCCTGCGGGGGCACGACCAGGCAGTCTGCTCAGAGATGGCAGTGTGTCCTCTGCAAGGCTGGGTGTGTCGCTGCAGGAACCCTGGGTCTCGCACTGGAGCGGCGGCGGCACTGGGGGGGCAGGAACACTTGTTCTTGTCCTGTGAGGCCCCAGCTGTGACCCGTCTGCTCTGTCACATGCCGGCGGCTGTCAGAGCACCAGGGCCCAGGCCACTGTCCACAGGGTGCTCGTGGGCAGTAGCAGTGTGGCTGCCAGCAGCGGGCCTGAGGCCTTTGGAGGAGGAGAGGCAGGGGAAGTGCAGGAGCAGACCTCGAAACTGTCCTCTGGGCGGCTCTGGCTGTGCTGTCCCGGCCGGGCGTGGGCCCCAGCCTCTCCGCCTGCACCCTCTGGGTCTGCCTGCGGGTCTCTGCAGACCAGCCAGTCCCGCGCTGTGGACTGTGGGTACCCGGGCGCCACCTCCAGCTCGCTGTCCAGCACTTTCCAGTACTCCTTGCCGCGGAAGAAGTAAGCAGCACCTGGGAGAGAAGAGGGCATGAGCTGCGGGCAGGCTGGCTAGCAGGAGCATGAGGGAGCAGAGTGTGGGCCAGCAGGGAAGTAGAACAGCTTATACCAAAGTCAGTCTGTCTCAGCCCCAGGGAGCCATCTGTGGGCACCGGGGGCCTCCCAGTCCTGGGCAAGCTTGGGGGGGCTGCCAGGAGGCTGGAGGTTGGATGAGATGACCTCTCGGTTTCCCTATTACAGGATATTTACTGAGGGGCTGCTATGTGCCAGGCTGTTTTAAGCGATGGGGACGGAGCTTTGAAAACAGAAAAGAAACATGTGGCCCCCATCAGCTGCCCTGGGGGAGGGAGGCGTATTCTTCCCTCTTCCAGGTGGGGCTGCACCATTTGGGCCTGAAGCAGGTGAGGGACGGGCCATGCAGATGTCTGGCTGTGTCTGAGGGATGCAGGGCAGGTGCAAAGGCCCAGGGCACATGAGGCAGCAGGAGGCCACACACAGTGGTGACCCCGGCATGTCAGTGGCAGGGAGGGGCACAGGTGCGTACAGCGGCTCCTGGGTCCTCCCAATCAGTCTGCTTTGACCCCCATTCCACAGGTGGGGAGACTCAGGTGGCGTGGGGCTCACCGTCGGACCAGCACATGGCGTCATCGAGCGTGCTGGGGATGCCCCTCCACGGGGGGCTGCGGGCGGGGTGGCCGGGGTCCATGCGCCGTGTGTGCTCATCAAAGCGCCAGTACAGCTGGTCCTTAAAGAAATAAGTCTTGTCATTGTGGGACCAGGAGAAGGCCGCGTCGACGCCGCCTGGCGGGAGGCCGAAGTCTGAAACGGGCCGCGGGTATCCTTCCTCTACGTTATTGTCCTTAAATACCCAGTATCTGTCTCCTGGGGGTGAGAGAGAGCGCCGTGGGCCAGAGCTCAGCCCTCCCCGCAGGGCAGAGGCTCCAGCCATCCCTCTCCGTCAGCCACCCAGTGCCGTCACCCCAGCCCCGCGGCACCCCGGGGCCTCACGGGTATTTACTGAGCACCTGCCCTGGGCCTGGCATGGGGTCAGCCCACAGCCAGCAGCCCGAGGACCCATGTTCCGACGAGGCAGGGCAGTGGGTGCCAGGCCCCCGGGAGGCCGCTGTGCTGCTCTGCCTCACCCACTGCTGCCACAAGGCGGAGGCAGGAAAGGCACTCGCCAGGGCCTGAAGCGACGGGCACATCCACACCTTTGTCAGCTTTTACACAGAAGCGAGTATTTAGAAATTACAAGAACATCAAACTCGTATGTAAGGTAAAAAAAAAACAAACAAAAAAAAAAAACAAAAACCAATGGGGTAAGATAGTTTTCAGGTCTATCCTTGGCTGCGCCCTGCAAACATCACTACACTGATCTGCGACATAAGTTGCCGCACGTGGCATCGCATCCTCTCCTGTGGTGGGACAAGGAGCAGCCGGTCAGACGGGGGATGGGAGAGAGGGGAGGGGCGGTGTGGAGAGGGAGAGAGGAGAGGGAGGGGAAGGGGGAGGGAAAGGGGAGGAGGAGGGAGGGGAGGGGGAGAGGAGGCAGAAAACCTTAAAGATCTTTTGCTGACTAAGGATTGAACAAACATTTCTCCAAGAAGACACTCAAAAGGCCAACAGGCAACATGCGGGATGCTCAATGTCCCCAATCAGGGAATCGCAATGAGACATCATCTCACACCCACTAGAACGGCCGCTGTCAAAACCCCCGATGAGACCAAGTGTTGGCAGGATACGGGGAGATCTCCATAGGCGGGGATGTAAAACGGGGTGGCTGCTGTGGAAAAGTCTGGGTGGTCCTGAAAATACCAGACACACGGGATCCAGTGAACCCACTTGTGGGCAGACACACAGAAGACCCGAAGGCAGGTCTTGAAGGGTCACTAGCACCGCATTCACGGCAGCATCATCCACAACAGCCAAGTGGCGGGAGCGAGCAGGTGTCCGCCGGCAGGCGGTGCACAGGCCGGATGGGGTCCACCTCTGTGAGAGGATCCGTCTCTGGAGGGCAGGACGCTGGGATGCTGGTCACAACGTGGACGAATGCCGGGGACGCGATGTCGAGGAGACTGAGCCATCACAGGACACGTGCGGCATGTTTCCAAGTCTATGAGGCCCCCAGCCCAATCCACAGACAGAGTAGATGGTGGGCGCCACAGCCCGGGGGGTCGGTGCTGACTGGAGACAGTTTCCATTTGGAGCAATGGACACATCTTGGAGGGAGACGGAGGTGGCAGCAGCACACAGTGCGGATGTGCTTTATGCCCCTGAACTACACGCTGAGAAGTGATTAAGAGAGCAAATCTTTATGTTGTTTTTTTTTTTTTTAACCACAATTAAAAGTAAACATAATTGTTAGAAATCCTTTGCCAGGGATCCCTGGGTGGCACAGCGGTTTGGCGCCTGCCTTTGGCCCAGGGTGTGATCCTGGAGACCCGGGATCGAATCCCACGTCGGGCTCCCGGTGCATGGAGCCTGCTTCTCCCTCTGCCTGTGTCTCTGCCTCTCTCTCTCTCTCTGTGACTATCATAAAAAAATTAAAAAAAAAAAAAAAAAAGAAATCCTTTGCCAGAGACAGGAAAGGACTGGAATGCCCGAGTGGGTGGGAAGCAAGTGGTGGCACACCCGTACGGGGACCCCCAAACAGCCAACAGTGAGGAGGCTGGTGGTGCCCAGAACCCAAAGGGCAGGAGGTATTGAGCCTGTCCCGCAATGGTGAGAACCTGAGAAATCCGGCAGGTCCACTTGCCCAGGTGAGCACAGGGAACGGTGCCAGACAGCTCCTGCCCGGGGCAGGGCGGCTCGGGACACGTCCCTCCTCGGCATTGCTGCTGAATGTGCAAGAGCAGAAGTCGCTCGGGAGAAGCCGCTGGGGCTGCCAACACGCCCAGGGAGGCCAGATGCTGGCAAAGGGTCCCGGCGGTGGCCACTACCTCGGAGCCAGTTGAGGAAGACACAGGCCTGGAACCGTCCACGGGAAAGAAGGAGGCAAATGTAGCAAAGTGTGAACAAGGGGTGAAGCTGGGTGACAGGTTTTTGCAGTTTTCCTGCGAGTCAGAAATGACTCTTCAGGATAAAGGTTTGAGGAAGGAGGCAGCTCTTTACGCAGTGACTTGGAACCGGCTCCCAGCTCTCTCGAGTGCAGGGGCGTACTGGCCCACCTGTGCACACCTTCTTTCCAAGATGCACTGCCCCATTGGGGGAGGCCGATGTCAAGCTCACACGGCATGAGAGTCCCAACAAAATATCTGTCAGAATGTGTGCCATTCTTACAGTTTTGCTTTTTTGAAGGTTGAAATAACAGATGCTATGTATGGGGAGCCCCCGTGTGTCAGGTTCCTGATGCCCCAGGGACGGGGACCAGACCCACTGGCACCAGTGGTGATGACTGGTCACCTCGCCAGCTCACAGCGGACAGGTGCCTGACCCTGAGCAGGGGCTGGCAGATGACGTGAACGAACACAAGAAACACGAGGAATAATCTCGACCTCCTCAAAGAAACAGGGTCCACTGTGTTGGTTCAAAGAGCTGCTGTGGTGGGTCACACATGTGCCCCAGACTCACATCCACTTGGACCTTGGAATCGGACTCATGTAGAAAGAGGATCTTTGCACATGAAATTAGTTAAGAAATCATGCTGCAGCAGGGTGGGCCCCACATCCGCTAGTGGGGTCCTTATTAGGACGAGGACACGCACGTGTTGAGACACACAGAGGGAAGCAGCCCGGGGGGGTGTCACAGGCTGGCTGGAGGCAGGGGGACAGTCTCCCTTGCTCAGAAGGAACCAGCCCTGTGGCACCTGGGTCTGGGGCCTCAGGTCTCTAGGCTGGGAGAGAATAAACCCTATTGTTTCATGCCAGCTTCTCTCCCCACCTGATGGGACATAGGCACGGGAAGGGCTGCCAGGCTTCAGCTCCAGGGACATGAGATGGGGTGGGCCGACCTGCTCCAGCAGCCCCTGGCATGCAAACAGCACAGGCCCCAAGTACCATGCCCTCTGCAAATTCCATGCTGGAGCCATGGGGTCTTACAGTTTTCAAATGTTGAGAAAGAACCCAAATCTGGAAGACCCTGCCTTGCAGGGCCCACTCCCATGCCCACAGCCTCGGGCAGCAGGCCTGGGAGGCAGTGATCCTGCTGTGGTGGGGGAGGCACAGTGCGTGGCTCCTGGGGGTCCCACCGTGAGAAGGGGTCAGCCTCTAGACCCCGCACAAGTCAGGGCAGGACAGTGGCTTCACTGGGGAGTTGAAGACTCAGTCACCCCAAAACACAGTGAGGGGAGGCTCACGGCCCCTGAAACCTGCAGGGCTCAGCGCCACTCTGTCTCCTGCTGCAGGCTCCGCATCCTGCCAGCTCCCCAAGAGCAGGAAGTGTCTCCTCTGGCCCAGTGCAGGAACAGTGCAGGGTGTGGAGGGTGGGATGATGCCCTGTGACCAACAGACCTGTCAAACCCACCTCATGCCCTCCTTGAGGCTCTTGGCCCTCTGCAAGCCTGTCTGGCCTAGCACCTTTGCACGGGCAGTTCCCTCTGAAACCGACTCCCTCACTACACACAAGTGCGAGCTGTGGCTCCTATGGGAATGAGGGCAGGAATTTTTGCCCACGTTGCCCACTGTGTGCCCACAACGCCTACCATGGTTCAAGGACACAGCAGGTGCTCAATAAATACACGCTGGTGGAGCACACAGATGAGTGAGCTGCCCTGTGTTCTGGGCTTGGAGCAAACCACAGACTGGACTCCAGTGCAGAGGCATGCTGAAGGGGAATCGCCATCAGCGATATAGGTGGAGTGCCCGGGGGGCCTGCCCACCTTTGAAGAAGACGATCTTGTGGTCACTGGTGCGCTCGTACACAGCGTCCACGCTGTCCAGCTGCAGCGGCAGGCCCCGCCAGAAGCGGTGCATCTGTGCCGGCTGCAGCGACACCAGGTGCCCATCCCGGGTCAGCCGCCAGAAGTACTTTCCTGGGGGAACAGAGAGGGGGTGCGGCTGCAGGGGGCTGCCCTTCCGGCCATTAGTGGCTCGCCGGACCGGGTGGGCATTACCTTTGAAAAAAAAGGCCTCGCCGCGGATCTGGGCCACTGCGTCGAAGTCGGTACTACATCGGTGAGGCACATCCTTCCCGGGCCTGGGGGCAGAGAGAGATGGAAGCTGAGGGCAGAGACCCGGGGGGCTGGGAGGGACCCCCCACAAGCCACTGTGAGGAGCTGTGCTTCACGAAACCCCGGAAGGAGCCCCCACGTCCCTGCCTGCAAGTTCAGAGCTGCAGGGCCACGGACGCAGGTGAATTACGAGTCCCTTCCTGTCAGCCAACCCTACTCCCGTTACAGAACAAAAATCAAAAGCCCGAGTGCCTCTCCCACAGCCCAGGGGGGCCGAGGCAGTGTGGAGGGAGTGGAGCGTCAGGGAGCATCCCACGGCGGTGTGCGGGACAAAGGACGAGGGGAATCCATAGCTTCACAGCCCGGGCCAGGGAAGCAGGTGCCCCTCCATGGCCTGGATGGGGCGGGGGAGCTGGTGGCCCTCTGCGGCCTGGATGGGGCGGGGGAGCTGGTGGCCCTCCGCGGCCTGGGTGGGGCGGGGGAGCTGGTGGGCCTCCGCGGCCTGGGTGGGGCGGGGGAGCTGGTGGCCCTCTGCGGCCTGGATGGGGCGGGGGAGCTGGTGGCCCTCTGCGGCCTGGATGGGGCGGGGGAGCTGGTGGCCCTTCGCGGCCTGGATGGGTGGGGGGTAAAGGAAGTCGGACTCAGGACTCAGCCCAGAGCCATGCCTTCCTCAGAAGAGCATGGAGGCTCTGAGCCACTGTGGGGGGGGGGGGGGCACGTGCAGACCAGGGCCTGTGGCTTACAGGGTGCTAGAACGGTTGTTGGGGGGCTCTGGCAGGAGCGGGGGCTCCTTGGGCTCTGGAGTGTCCGGCTGCGCCGTGGGGGACACAGACTCCCGCACACCTGTGGAGACAGAGGTAGGCTGCACTGGGCGTGTGGACGGGCCCCCCCGGCCAGTCCCCCCAGCCTCCCTGGGACCCCCAACGTGGAACTATGGCCACCGGGTGCCAGGGTGTCCACATGTCCTACAGCCAGAGCATTGCCGCACAGGGAGGAGACACAGGCCACGATCCCTCCTTGACCTGCAGGCGTTAAATGAGGTTGCCCCCCTCCCGCAACCCCAAAAAACCAAACAGGCGTTCCAACCAAAACTTGTCTGTGACTGTGAACAGGACTTTGCACAGCAGCCAAAAGGTGGGATGCCCCCAGTGTCCACCCGATGGGCAGGCAGATAAAATTGCTCCCACAGAGAGGAAGGAAGAACAGCCATGGGACAGGGGCAGGACATGGCAGCCTCGGAACAGGGCACTTGGTGACAAAAGCCAGACACAAAAGGCCACTCGGTGTGCAGTCCCCTTTGCGTGACAAGTCCAAAGAGGCACACCATGGAGACAAACAGAAAGGTGGACGATGGCTGCTGGGGGACGGGGTGGGGAAGAAGAATGTTCTGGAACCGGGTGAAAGTGGCAGATGGGCAGCACTGTGAATATGGTAAATGCCACTGACCCGTACCCTCTGAGTGGTCAGTGTAGGAAGTTCTTCTATGGCAAGAAGAGCCCACAGGTGGCAGAAGGTGGTGGGTGCTGGGGAGCTCGTGGGGGCAGGGCATGGGCTGCCACGTGGGTTAACTGTGGCCACTGTGGGGGGTGTGCTGGGGCTAGGAGGCTGAAGCCACACACGGGGATGTGACCCCGACCTCTGCAGAGGCCTGTGTGCACTGCCTCCTTCTGGGCAAGTCCCTGACGTGATCCCAGCAGAGGACATCCCTGAGGCGGGCTCTGGGGTCGGTCCTGGCTCTGCGGCTGCCACAGGTCACCCCGCCTCGACTCTCCCGTCTCTAGGTGGGGAAGGCAGGTCCCCTCATGGTGTGAAGACTGGGTGCCCGCATGCATGCACAGGCTTTGCACAGGCCCAGGGCGCTGTCCACACCAGCGGTCATAGCCTGAGGCTATCTGGGGCCGCCTGGGATTGGAGGCTCTGGGGCAAGATCTGCTAACAGGCCTGCGGGGCCAGCATCCAGGGATCCTGGGCCAGACCGCCTGCTCACTCACCCCGCACATTACGGGGTAGCTAAGGTGTGCCATGCAGGCTCTGGACGCTGAGCGCTAAGGTGAACAAGACAGGAAAAGCCCTTTTCCCCCAGGATCTGTCCCCAACCTCGGGGTGACTGTGCCTGACTCTGAGGGGAAAGACTCACCGTACAGCTGCCAGATGCGCACCCTGTCCTCATAGGGGAGCCTGTAGTGCAGTGGATCGCCCACTGGGCCCTGGTAGTAGGGCTGCATGATAGAGCTTGTGGCTGCCACGTGGCTCAGCCCAATGGCATGGCCGAACTCGTGCACGGCCACCGCGAACAGGTCCATGTCACGGGCATCTGGGAACACAGGGGGCCAATGGGTCAAGGGAGGGACCACAGCTGGTCAGGCACACAGGCCGGGGCACCCACAGGGAGGGAGGTATGATGGGTATGGGTATACTGCCCTGGTCACCTCGGAGGCCCTGGTCCTAGACAGACGGATTCTGTGCGGTCACTCAGGGCTGCCCACTTCCTGCCAAGGTCCCTATGGGGTCTACGAGAGCTTCTTGGACCCTGGGGTCCCCCCATGGCAAAGGGCCTAGAGGCTCTGCGGGGTCACTGCTGGCTCCTCAGGCTGCAATGGGCTCCCCGGGCTGGAGTGTGGAGTGACCCCACACGGGCCCCCGTCTCTGGCCCACATCCATGCTTTGGGCCCAGGGGCCGTGGCTTCGTGACCAGTGAATGAGGGCGCGAGGGTGTGAAGGCCTGCAGAGGCCTCCCGGGAGCAGGGTAAGGACGAGCCTGGCTCAGCCCTGCAGGGGGAACACCTGGAGCCATGGCAGCTCTCATCCCAGGCAAGGCCATGCGGGTTCTTCATCCTGCGGGGCTGGAGTGGCCCTGCGACTCCGCAGCAGCCGACACACCTGACGAGCGGAAGGCCCAGGACTCATCATCATCGAAGTGGGCATCCCCCGCAGTGTGGTGGTCGCCAGGGAAGAAGGCATGGGCCACCGTGCCGCCTGGGCCATCGAAAGGGTAGGCGTCATTGTGGTCAGCCTTGGAGAAGTCGATCTGGATATCCGCCGCACTGCCTGCCACCTCATGGAAGTTGAGGGGCGTGATGTCACTCCAGACTTTGAGGGCGTAGTGCATGAGTGCCCGCACCGTGTCCGGGCCCAGGGGGGAGTCCCGAGGGAACGTGCGGACCCTACGGAGTGGTGTCAGAGTCTGAGGTCTGCCCACCCGGCGCAGGCTGTGTCCCCGCCCCAGGCTGCCCTGTGCTCCTGGGCACATCCCTCCCCAGGGTCTCCCTCAAGGGCCTTATTGGGGAACGGGGTTTGGGGGATGCAGTCAAGGCTTGAGAGGAGGCCTCCTGAGTGGGGTAAGGTGTCCTCGGAGGACACAGCAGGGGACACAGAGGCAGCTATGTGAGGGTGGACGCAGGGACTGCAGCAGTGGATCAGAGGCTGCCAGTGGCACTCCAAGCACAGAGGCCGGAGGTGTCCTCTGGCCTGAGAAGAAGCCAGACACATAATGCCAGCACCTGCAACTTCTGGCCTGCAGGTGCAGCCCGCCCACCCACCTCCAGGACAAGCTCCTCTTGTGCCACGTGGTTGGAGCTGGAGCCTGGCGCCTCCTTCGAGCCGGGGCCGCAGCCGGGAGGTCAGGGAGGGAACACCGAGGGGTCTTCATCAGCGCCAGGGTAGCCACATCTACAGGGGTGTGGGGGTGGTCAGGTCCCCTAGAGCTGGCACCAGGCTCCAGCCCTGTGCCCCCATCCCCACCCCAGATCTGGTGGAGACCAGGCCCAGGGCTCCAGGCATGCCAGGCCTCACTGCTATGGGTATGGCCACCATCAGGACAGGGGTCATTCAAAGCATTTCCTAACTACAGCAGGGCCTGGGCCAGAGTGGTCATGGGTGGGGCCCTGGCCACCGGGAGCAGCAGGGCCACAACCTGCAGCCAGCGCTGCCAATTCTTCCTGGAGTTCACAAGACACACAACTCTTCCAAGGCCTGGGGACAGACGTGCTTCATCAGCCCACAGGGAGGTCTCTACAAACCTGGGACTTGTTGCCAATGTGTAAAAGGCGGGGTGCTCACATAAACACCCCCGATTTCGGATTTCCAGTGGAAAGCTGCAGGTTTTGGCGGCACAGATCTGCCACTTCCACGGGACAAGAATCAACTGGGACCTCCATGGGCACAAAGGCTTGAGACCCTGCTGTATGGTGTGGAGATGGATCTGGGCACAGCTGGCACCCCCCGCCCCCCACCGTGCCCACTCCTGGGTTGGGGAGCATGCTGATGGGACCCTATGTGGCGGGAACCCTTGGGCCCCAGGGACACCAGGCCTATCCCTCACCCCATCCCCCATGAAGAAGCTGGATAGGGCAAAGGGCCCCAGAGGGCAGTCGGGGTGGGGGTGGGGGAGACCAGGTTTCCCTGGTCGTGGAGTGGGGAGCACCCATGTCCTGCCACCTGGAGGACTGACCCAGGATGCCGGTGGCCTCCAGACCTCCAAACCGCTGCATGGCAGCAATGGCCTTGGACAGTTCCTCCTGTGTCTGCAGCTGCCCAGTTGTGGAGTCTGCTGGGGGCAGGTAGCCGAATCTGCTCAGCCACTCCTGAAAGCAGAGAGCAGCGTGAGGCGTGCCGGTGGGGGGCTCGGCCCTACAAGAAGAGCTGCCTGCCCTTGAGGTGAGGGGCAGGCCTCTTCTGGCTCCGGTCACCACTAGCCCCAGTCCCCCAGGGGCCCACACGGCACCTCGTGCCCCCTTCTTTAAGCTACTTTATAGGCAGGTGCTGGAGAACCATTTTAATAAGCCCGATGTCCCCTAGAAGGGGTTAGCTTCAGCAGTGTACGAGCTGTACAAGTGCTCCCAGCAGCCTGTCCTACCGCACTTCTCCTGAGCCAGGAGCGAAAGTGAAATTTTAAAAAGGTTATTATTACGCGTGACAAGTGCCAAATTCAGGCCCTGAGCTGCCCTGCCTGGGTGCCAATCCCACTTGGCACCTACTTGCTGTGCAACCAGGACAAGTCCCTCCACCCCTCTGGGCCATGTCCTTGCCTGCGGGTACGAGGATAGAATGTGGACAATGCTCCCTCCCATTGGCACCTGACACAGGTGCTCTAGAAGGCACGTGTGGCCTTGTCAGGGGACGTCTGGGGTCCCCTGAGCCAACCAGGAAGGAGGACTGAAAGATCACCCTTCCCAAGCCCCTTTCCCCTGGGGGGGGGGGGTGCCCGAGGACAGACGGCAGTGCTGACACCGTTCTCTGGGGACAGCCTTAGCTTTGTTTTCTCCAACCACGAAATGGTCAGTGCTCACGCCTACTCCCTGGGCTGTGTGACAGTCCCATGGAAGCCCCTGGCCATGTGGACAGTGGCTGGGCTCAGCAGGGAGGGAGGACCCGCAGGTGAGTGGGGGGCAAGGTTGCAGGAATTCCACGAGCCCCTTATCTCCCAGGCCTGGCTCCCAAAAAGGTAGCAACCTGCAGACCTATTTGTTTTTTAGTGGACATTTAAGAAACTCCTTGATTCGTTTATGTCAAACACAGGGGCCCCAGAAGCTTCTGTGTTTGTAGCCCCTGTCACAGGACCCCTGCCCTGGGGGATCTGCCCCGACAGGGGGCACAGCAGGTGCTTGGTGGGAGGGGGTCTCTCCTCCTGGAATTCTTAGGAGCTTCAATTGGCCAGGAGGGGCCACCTTGATGATTTACATATAATTTGCATTCTCCCGCAGAGAACCAGCTAGATTCCTCCCTTTCTGGGGAAACAGAGTCTTTCCTGGGGTTTCTCTTCCTTTACCCCCCTCAAACCCTTACTGGCCCAGACCCCCCAGTCCTGCCTGGGGACCCTCCAGGGAGCGTGTGTAGAACTGGGGCCCTCTGAGGGTGTTGAACAGGACTGGATAGCAGTGGAAGTGACGTGGTCCTCGATGGACAGCAATCCCGAGACCTTCCAAGGGAACACTCTGGTTAGCAGGGCCTGTGGAGCGATGCCCTATGCTCAGATGCGGTGGGCATCAGCGGGGACAGGCCCTTCTCAGGGTCAGGATCTTTGCCGTCTGAGCACCTCTCATCTTTTGGGAGGACCCCCCTTTCACATCACTTGGAACACGATAAAGTGTAGGGACAGGAGAGACATCCCATGACCCTGGCTGGGCACTGGAGACACTCAAGTGAGTATCCTGTACAAAGCATGTATACTTGAGGCTACACACGTTTTTGGGAAAAGTTTTCTTGAAAGTTGTGATTTTGCGGTTTTCTTTCTGAATGTCAAAAACAGATTACAGCCCTGCCTCTCGGCACCTCCAGGCTGCCTCCTCTAGGAAGCCCTCTGGAATTTCCTCAGATGCACAGGATGCCAGACAAGGATGCCAGCCCCACCTTCTAGGGAAGGGTCTGTCCAAGCCGGTGCCTTCCCCCACCCAGGTCAGCTGCTTCAGGCAGGCTGGGGATGAGACACGAGGGAGGACCCCTCCACCCTGCCAGGGCTGTCTGGTCTGCAGGTGGGGGTCGCAGCTGGGTGTCTGCACTGAGCAGCCCCACGGGGCTCACCACTCACAGGGCTCTGTGGGGTTCACCAAGGAGCCCTGCCCCCCGAACCCAAGAGCACTCCAGGTGGCTGTGAAATGTTTGCCATCACTGAAAAGCAGGAGGTTTCACGCAGTCTGAGTGGCTGCCTGTGTGAACTTGCAGAGCAAGGGGCAGCTTGAATGCACTTGTGGCCGGGGACATGCACTACTGCCCCCAGGTCAGTGGCCACTCCTGGCTGCCTGGGCTCTCGGGACACAGCAGCTGGCAGCCCCCACCAGGTGCAAGACCCTGAGAAGAGGGCCGGACTTGAGCAGCTGGCCGGGGGCCCCCACCCGCAGGCCTGGGCCGGGGGAACATATCTCCACACTTCCCACCTGCTCCCAGCATGGACTCGCCCGGACATCATCACAATGCTGTCCCTCTCAAGCCCGTGGCTCTCTCCTCCCCTGAGACCCTGCAGTCCTAGGGGGGTCCCAGGTCCGTTCCTGGACAGTACAGACTGGGAGAGGAGAGCACCCCAGCAGCCAGCAGGGGAAATGCTAAGGAGGAGTCTGACACAGGACAAGCTCCCTGGCTGGGTTTGGGGGGCGCTGGCAGCCGCTGGCCCTTGGGTGGCCATGGGGATGGGAATGGGCCCCTGCCCAGGCCTGCCTGGAACAGATGGCCTGGTTCACGCTGGGAGGGCCTGTGGGCCCTGGAGGGGGGAGGGGATCCAGGGAGGGGGCGCTAAGAAGACAGCGCTCGCTGTTTGCGGCGAGCTCATCCCCATCTCCGGAGGACTCATGCACAGTTCCTGACGGCCGGGCATCCTTGCTTCCAGGGCAGCCGAGGGGTCCAGGGGCTGCGGGCTGAAAGGCGGGAGGGGGTCCTCAGTTGAGGGTACAGTAGGGGCCAGATGCTGCTCCCCTGCCCTCCCGGAGGGCACCCTCCTCCAAGAGCCTGCCCCAGGGGTATCCTTCCCTCACCCCCTCCAGCCAGCACTGAGCCCTTGGGGCACATGCCAGGCCAGGCTGGCCCCTCCCTGCACGCCCACCCCACCCGCCCTGCGCATCGCCACAGCGACTGCGTCTCCAGGGCAACCAGGCTGCAGCAGCTGAGGTGAACCTTCCAGAAGGCCGTGGGGAGGGGTGGGAAGGGAGGGGGGGAGGGAGGGGAAAGGAGGAGAGGTGTAGGGGTGCCCCAGTCCTGCTGCCCCCACTGCCCCAGAAGAGGTGCTTTTCCTCTTCCCAGGGATCGCTGAGCTGCCGTTACCACAGACGGGGAAACTGAGGGCAAGCGCTGCAGGACAGGGTGCCGCACATCTGGCCAGCCTTTCCAGGCTCGCCCACGAAGGCCCCAGGCCTCCCGGCTCCTATCTTTCCCTGTGCATTCATCCCGGGCCATACGGGGGTGTCCGTTCACAGTACCAACAGGTGCAACTCCCCTCCCTTCCCCTGTGTTCTGGGGAAGGGCAGCCCCAGCCCCAGCAAGGGGGGCACGGGACCCAGCAGTGGGGTGCGAGCCCCCACGGAGGGAGGGGGCTGGGCTGCAGCGCTGTTATGCTTTCACCAAGCTGGCACACAAGAAGTGCTTACTGTGTGCAGGATGTGACGTCTTCTCCACGGCCCCACAGCATGGGCACTGTCGACCCCACTTACACGTGGCAAGCAACAGCCTAAAGCTTGTGGTGACCAGGAGACACACGATCCCTTGGGACTGGCCCTGGCCTGGTGTCTCCCGCTATGCTGGGGGCCACGGCCATGGGTGGTCCCTTCCTCTGCGCGGTCCATCTCCCACTGGACTCCTCCAGCCTCGTGAGGGGCAGGGGAGCAGGTGCTCCTCTGCACAGAGGAGGGAGTCCAGGCTCAGAGGCAGCAGTGGGGCCATGCTGGGTGCAGACGGTCACCCCAGCCACCACGATGTGGCTCAAGCAGGCTTTAGAGCACCCCTCAGGACCTAAACACTATTAGTCAGTGTGGCACAGCAAGGCCAGTACCCACGCGGCACAGCTCACTGCTTGCCCTGCACACCTTCATTTGGCACCCCTCTAGGGTCACGTGACCAGCACCTCCACTCACAGCTCAGGAAACTGAGGCTGCAGTTACGTGTACAGCCGGTGGTGGCTGCTAACGACCCTGAAGGGAAATGAGCTGGTGGACCCTCAGAGCAGGAGCCCTGTGCCTGTGTTCCTCTGGGAGCTGGTGGTGGGCAACCATGGAGAGCTCCCTGCCCCCATGTCTTCCCCAGGGGCTGTTCCTAGGTCCCCCTTGGACAGCCTGTCGTTCACTGTCCATCCACCCAACGCACCCAGACCGAGTGCTCGCGGTGCTGGGCACCCTGGGGACAGTGAGGACCCGGGCGAGCCCTTCTGCAGACAGGGCTCCGGGAGCCAACACCGTCCCGGGAAAGAACGTGGGTAAGCAAGTGACCACACACCCAAGCGGCCCCAGACCGTGAGCGCTTCACGCACAACAGCGAACAAGTAGCCAACAACTAGCACGTGCTCTTCCATTCACCAGCTTGCTCCATGCTCATGACACCCCCAGGGCAAAGCCTTGTGAGGCCGGGTGCACTGCCTAGAGAATTCAACCCACACTTGGCAGTGACACTAAGTACCTGCTAAGTTAATCTTAAGAGGCAGGCACTGTTATCTTCATCGTACAGATGGGGACAGAAAAGCACAGAGAGGTTACGACATGTATCCGCAGTCGCTTCACCAGCATGGGACAGGACAGGGCTGGGGCCAGTGCCTGGGGTGTCTGGATTCAGAGCCCATTCCCGTAACCTCTGTGCTATGAGAGGACGTGCGTTTCAGCGTGCAGGGAATAAATAAGTGGTGGTCAGGGAAAATGTCCCTGGGGGTGATGGCAGACTGGCACCTGAAAGATGAGAAGCTGGTCAGGTGACAAGTCCTGCAAGAGGTCACAGAGGTGGGCAGGGCATGGCAGATGCTAAGGCCCTGGGGCAGGAAGCAGCCTGGGATGTTCCATAGAGAAAGGAGTTCCACAGAGTACAGGAGGGAGGTACGCAGAAGGCGCAGCCAGTACGGCCTGGGATCTGATTTCCTGCAAGTGGGGCAGCTGGGCTGTGCATCCTGCCAGACCACTCTGTGCCATCCCTCCAGAGAGCTAGACGGGCTGTCAGCTTACATGGGACAGACGCATTACCCTCCGCGAGCGAAGCACAGACTCGACACCCAGAGCATCTCATGGAAACGCAGATCACCACCAAGAGGCAAAACCCGGAGCACACTTGAACCTCGGAAGGTGCTGCACTGAAGCCCCTGCCAAACCCTGAGCCCTCTCCAGCCTTCTCTGGGGGAAGCACCTTCCCGCCAGGTACTGTTGCGAGTGATTCAGAGGCCTCACCTGAACGTCCCGACAGCCCTGTTTTACAGACAGGAGACCGGGGCCCGCAGGCTGGCGTATACACCCCCCACCCCCGCACCGGTGTCAAGGGCCCACATGAGAGGGAAACACATCCCAGGCCCACGGCTGGCGGGTGTAGTCAGTGCACAGAGCACAGGCGGCCCCGGTGCAGCCCTCCCCCCACCACACTGGCTCTCACAACAAAAGCACTATAGACACTTCCCTCAGGGGGCTGGAGCCCCAAAGGCAGTGAGTGCTCCAGGGCGGGGACTCACAGTACACCAAGTGCCTCAGCGGTGGGGGGCACATTTACAGTCAGCCTCCCACACAGACACTGGGAGGGGACCCCGGAGGAGGGCTTGCGGTCTGGCCCCGGCCTGGGTATCTGCAGCTTCCCGATGCCAGGGATACTCCAGGCCCCAGGCCTGGGCTGTGGCATCAGTCTCAAGGGCATGCAGGGTACACAGGCTCCCTTGGGTGCTGGCACGGAGAAGCAGGGACCCACGGGCCACCGGTTGAGACCAGGGGAGGATGGTAACTGTCACCCTGCCTGCCTCTGCCTCTGCCCCTGCCCCAGTAGGGAGACATAGGGCTTGAACCCACCATTGCCACTGTCTGGCCTCCTGCTGCCCATCCCTGGGGGCCCCCAGGCTGTGAGAGGGCCTGGCTTGTTCTTGGTCATCCTTGCATGCCATCTCAGCCACATGCAAGTGACCTGTCTGGGTGTCAAAGATCAGAAGACCCACCAGCGTGTGGTGTAGTTTGGGGTCATGGGAACTTTGTTGCTGGGAGTAGCAGCCTGAGCAGAAGCCTGAGGGGCCAGGTGGGCAGGTCTACCAACACCAGCACGACCCATTCATGCCTGTCACCAGGCTTCCTGGCTCCAGGGCCCCGGGCCACACATGGTCACCTGCGGCTACAGTGTCTGGCACCGCTGCTGGTTTAGCAAAATATTAGCAGCCCGCCTTCCCCGTGCCCAGAGTTGGCTGGAGGATGTGACGTCTGTGCACAGAGGCGAGTGGGTGAGCACAAGCACCAGGCAGCCCCTGACATTCCCGTACGGAACGTGCTCGGACAGACTTGGACATGAAAACAGCAGGGCAAGGAGCAGCGGGATGCAGGCTTTCGTCCATGAAGACAAGAGGCCCAGGTTCCCAGGTCCCTTTGAGTGGCCAGACGACCCTGGAAGGTTTCCAGAAAAGCGACAGGAGGAGAGAGACCGTGGAATCCCTCCTTCAGACCCTTCCTGATGGGCCTGAATATCTTGCTAAGGGTGTTACCTACCCAGAAATAAAATTTAAAAAAGCTCAGGTCCAGAAGGACTCAAGGCACCAACACCAGGAGGGCACAGCCTACTCTTAGGTCCTGCGGGCGGCCTCAAAGTCCTTCACTGGCTGCGCACAGCGGGACTCAATCCAGGGCTTTGTCCCTGTGTTAAAGCTGGGCTGGGCTCACTCTGGCAGAAGCTGGCTCACGCCGACAAAGGGCCCCTTTTACTCTCCGGCAACCCCAGAGCTGAATATGCAGAGTCAGAGGGCCCTGGGCGGTGGACGTGAGGGTGGGAAGGAGCACCCCCACCCCCTAAATCCTGCCTGTCTCCAAGACCTCCTGCACCTCCAGTCTGTGCTCTGAGGTGTTGTTCTGCAAAAGGCCACCAGAGACCGCCCTTTACCCACCAACGTGGGCAGGAGGCAGGAAGGCTGCAGCATGGAGGAGGTGGGGGGCGGGGGTCCTGGCCTTCCCTGGCTCCAAGGCCTCCTGGGTCAGGGGCAGGACCCTCCGTTTCCTCCCACTGGACCAGATGCCAAAGCCAAGCTGTCTCCGGGGTTCCAGGCTGACCAGCTGCCCCACCCCCACCCCCCAGTGCAAGCCACTGGGTTCGGCAGTGACCGCACCACCCCCCACACACACCCCAGGGGGCTCTGGGGAGTCTAAGGAGGGAGGGAACGGGATGCCAGGCCTGAGCTGGGAGCACTGGATCCAACCCGCCGGCCCTGGGCGGGTACAGAGAAACCAGAACTGCACCAGGCCTGAGACTGGAACTTGGGCAGAGCGGAGGGCGCAGGGCCTCTCTGAGCTGGGGTGGAAGCAGGGTTCTCTTGTCACCATCTGCCCAGACCCAGACACACGCTGCTCCTGATCATGTACCCCAGGAGGGGGAGGTCCAGGAAACCCCTGCTACAAGGGGGCCGGGGGGGGGGGGGGGGGGTGACCTGAGGTGCCCCAATCTCAGGGGCCGTTTGGCTGGGAGGGAGCCCACCGCGGGGCCGGCAGGAGTCTGGACACGCCGGCAGGGCCCGTGGCTGCGCCCTCCCAGAGGGCTTCCAGGCTGGGCCAGCTGGGCGGGGGAGGCCGAGCCTGTCTCTGCGGAACCTGTGGCCAAGTCCTGCCAACTCATCAGGGGCTGCGGCTGCCCCCGCCCCATCCCGGCGCCTCCGCCGCTCAACTCCACATGCAGCTTGCAAGTGCCGACGGCAGCAGCACCCCTGGGGCACCGCGGCTGCATGTGGGCCCCCCACCCCCGCCGTTCTCGGCGGCCCCAGAAGAAACCGTCCCAACCCCACGGCCCCTTGCGCCCTCACCTGGCCTTTCCGACGGGGGTGGGGTGGGGTGGGGGCTGGGGGAGGCCCATAAAGTCTGGTGTCATCCCTCGGGTCCAGAGGCGCGGGAAGAGGCCGCGGCCGCCACCCCTAGGACGGCCAGTGTCACCGGAGGGGGCGCTGGGGAGGCGGCGGGGCTGCATCAGAGCCCGGGGTGGGAGGGGGACCCCACTGCGCTCCGGCAGGGCCCAGGGGAGGCAGAGCCGGGCTGGTCCCCCCGGCGGCGCGCGGGCCGAGGTTCATGCCCGCGGGGGGCTGGGGGCCGCTCCTCCTGCTCCCCAACACCCCACAGCGGCACCCGCGAGAGCCACCGGCTTCCCGGGGCGCCCGCACTCGCAGCCAGACCCGTCCCCGGCCCCGGCCGCCGCGCCCCGCCCCCCCTCCCCCGGGGCGCACTGTCCCCAGCGGCCCGCCCGCGGTCCCACTCGCCCGAGGTCCCCCCCGGGGCCGTCCCAAGCCACTGGCCAGGGCTCCGGCGGCGGCCCCGACCGCGGAAAGCACTCGGTGCCCCTTCCCAGGCGCGGGCTCAGCCCCCCGCCCCGCGCCCCGCGCCCCCCGCCCCGCGCCCCGCGCCCCGCGCCCCGCGCCCCGCGCCCCGGCCGCGCACTCACCACCCCCAGGCTCAGGTCCTCCGCGCGCGGTGCGGGCGCGCCCCAGCCCCCGCGGGCCGCCAGCGCCAGCAGCAGCCACGGCAGCGGCGGAAGCCGGGGCCAGGGCCAGGCGGGCGGCGGGCCGGGTCCGGGGGCGGCGCGGCGCCCCATGCCGCTCGCGGGGCGGTCGGCGAGCAGTCAGGTCCCCGCGCTCTCACGCCCCCGCGCCCCCGCGCCCCCGCGCCCTCCGGCCGTGCGCCCCGCTCCGCCGCCGCGCGCCGCTCCCCGCTCCCCGCCGAGCCCGGCCCCGCCTCCCGGCCGCGGGGCGGGGCATGCTAATGTATGCTAATGACGCCGCCGCGCTCGCCCCGCCCGCCGCCTTAAAGGCCCCGCGTCCCGCGCGGGCGCCCGGACCCCGCCCGCACCCCACGCCTCGCGCGCGCCCTGGGGCCCGGGGCGGCGGCGGCGGGGGCACGGCCTGGGGGCGGCGGGAGGGTGCGCGGACCGGACCGGCTGCCCCCTGGGCACTGACCGACTCCCCGCCCGCCCGCCCGCCCGCGCGCTCCCTGGGCCCCGACCCTCAGCCCGGGTTCGCGGCCACGGCGGGGCACCCCAACGGCAGTCGCAGCGCGCCCGGCCGCCGCCTGGTGGAGCCCGCGAGCCGCGGAAGCAGGGTGGAGGCTGGGCGGGGGCGGGCGGGGGCGGGACCCTGCGGGCGCTCGTCTCCGCGGCCTGGGCGCCAGAGCAGGGTGTGCAAGCCGAGGTCTGCGGGAGGTCGCTGCGCGCGGGGCACCTGTCCAGCTGCCCCTTTATCAGCATCTCGGGAGACGGAACGGGCTGTTCTCACTTCTCTTTTTTTTTTTTTGATTTTTTTTTTTTAGAATTTTTATTTATTTATGATAGTCACAGAGAGAGAGTGATAGAGGCAGAGGGAGAAGCAGGCTCCATGCACAGGGAGCCGGACGTGGGATTCGATCCCGGGTCTCCAGGATCGCGCCCTGGGCCAAAGGCAGGCACCCAACCGCTGCACCACCCCGGGATCCCCGTTCTCACTTCTCAAACAAGGACACTGAGGCCCAGAGAAATGAAGTAACTTGAGGTTTGCGGGGGGTGGGGGGCTGCGAGGTTCAGGTGCAGATCCCCTACACCCGAGTGAGAGTTCTCATCCTGCTAGTGTACAGCTGCCCCCCAGCCTCGCCCCCACACCCGCTGCTCACGGCTGCGGCTGCCTTCGGACAGGGAAACTGAGGCCCAGACGCCTCGCTGTATCCAGTCACCCGTGGAGGCCGTGGAGTGGCAAGGGCTGGGCACCATCCTTCCCTGTTACTGTGGGAGCCTCAGTGGCCCCCTTTGCAGCAAGGAGATTCTGTACCTCCTTCAGAACAGCTCAGATGGACCAGGCCTCTGGCACACAGGGACCCTTCACGGGCACATCCTCAAATTTTGCATCAGAACAACGTGGTTGCCAGTGGCAGAAACCAGCTCAAACTGGTTTTAGTCAAGGAAAGGACATTGAGAAGATTGTTAGACTGGGATACCCTGGGGCGTATTGATGTCAGATAAGGCTAGATCAAGTTGCAAAAGACTAGATCAGAATTCAGTTCCTCCCTCCATTTCTGTGTTGGCTTCATCCTCTGGCAAGATTTCTCCAGCAGCAAAAACGGTGCAGAGCAGCTGCAGTTAACATCCTGACACTTAGGAAGCCACAGACCCTGTGCTGTCTTTCGCTGGGTGCTGTGGATTATGTGTTTGTCTCTGAGCCAAGCGTGTGGCCAGAGGATGGCAATGAGCTGATCTGCCTGCATAGACCTGGGCAAGGAGGGGGTTTTCTAAAGGACACTGGAGGTGCTGAAGTCGGAGTAAGGGAGATGGATGGCAGGCAGGGCTGGATCAAGGAGTTCAGAGAGAGGCTGGAGCAGTCCACCCCTGTGGAAGAGCCCTTCCTGCATCCGAGGGCTTGGAGCAGGATGCTGTGGGAGGCTAATTCCAGATGGTGGTGGACAGACGTAGCTGTGAGTATGGCCTCAGCAGCACAAATATAGGCATGGCCAGACTGTGGTTCTCCTCAGGCAGGTCCAGATGGTGGCTGGAGACCACGGCGAGCGCTGAGGATGCTTGGCTAGGGTGCACTTGGGGGGGGGGGGGGCTGTCACTCACTTCATGCCAGGGCCACTGCACCACACCTGCTGCGTTCACTTCAGGCCTGCCACTGAATCCTGATATTTGAATGTGGACAGAATCCAAGCACCGGTGAGAGGCCACTTTTTACCCTCAGATGGGTGATGTTGGAAAAGTGATATATCATCGTGCACCCAGGAAGTGGGAAGGGGGGACTTTGTTGCCCCTGGGTGGGGGTACCAGCTGGTTCAGCCTTACTGGAAGGCCATCAGGGAGCAGCTATTAAAATTTAAAAAGTACATTTTCTGGCTAGCGTTCTGTCTAGAAAAATGCTCCCATCTTTGCATGAGAAGGCAAACACAGGACATACCAGGTCACCATCAGAAGTGCCCAAGTGTCCACTCAGGGCTGACCTGCTAAATCAGGGCCGTGTGCCCAGGCAGCTGTGCAGGGGCGGGCACCCTCCGATCTGTGATTCCTGGAGTGGGGAGGGGGGGTGTCCTGCTGGAGAAAGACCCGTGAGGTGCCATGTAAGCTGGTGGTGCCCTGGACTGACTGCCCCAAAGATGGAACAGTACCTGGAAGTCAGAAAGGACTAGATCCAGACACACCAGTGGGACCATGCACATGTATTGTTGAGTGAAAAAAACAAATCGTGAGAAATCAGAAAAACCCCACAAAACAACTAGGTGCTTAGCTTTGCCATGTACACACACAAGCATGTATATCTGAGCTCTTGATCCAGCCTTGCCCTGCCATCCAGCTCCTTTCTCTGGTGTCAGCACCTCCAACGTCCTTTAGAAAATCCCCCTTTGACCCTGTCAGCCCAGGGGTTTGTGATGCGGGCCCCCGCCACCTGGAACACAGAAGCCAGGATGGGCCCATCCCTCCTGACCATCTTCCAGCCACGTGACTGGCTCAGGGCTGGCCCCACGGCCCCCATCCTGGGATGAAGGACAGCTCTGGACTGTGGCTCGGGCTTGCTGAGATGCCAGGACGGGGGCTGCAGCTTTCCTGGGCTGTGTGTGTGCATGCATGTGTGCGTGCATAAAAGCAGAGGGAAAGCACTGGAAGGAACCCACTAAAGTGCAGGTGATGACTTCAGGCAGGAGGGCAGGGAGCAACCTTGGGCCTGAACATCACCTCATCCTCTGCTGGGTGCTCCCTTGTGCCGCCTGCACCTGTCACTTTGTCCTGGGGGCTCAGGCTTCGGGACACCCACCCCTGGGCAGCCAGGGCTCATGACAATGCAGGGAAGATGTGATCTGTGCTATCCAGGGGTGCCGGCTCGGGCACCTCTTGCCCTTCCCATCCCTAAGTTCCTGGGGGGGGGGGCGGTCCTCCAGGGTGGGTCCCTGAGGGGTTCACCATCAGTCACCATCACTGAGGTCCTCTGCTTGGGGTCTGCTCCAGGGACCTGGGAGAGGGCTGGCGGGCAGCAGGATGTGGCAGGGGTGACAGCCTTCAGCCTCTCCGCCTGTCTCACACTCCTACCAGGAGCAGCTATTTCTACTTGGCTTGTGTAACTGAAAATCAATAAAAATGAGAACAAAAGAAGTATGATTATGTGTATTGCATACAGAAGGTTGACTTAAACACAGTCCCTTCTCCGAGACCAGGGTTTCGAGGGGGTGGCAGCCCTTAGACCAGGCCCTGTGTCTTCACTCTAGAAGGGCGGGGCTCAGGCTGCCTGCTTGAACCCCTGCCCTTGTGAGGCTGCTGCCCTAGGCGGGTAGACAGGTTGAGTATGCACAGTGAGGAACAGCGGCCCGCGTTACCCAGTCCTAACCCCTGGAATCCGAGAGCATGTTCCCTTATGTGGCTAAAAGGGGCTTCGCAGATGTGGTCAGGTTAAAGATCCTGGATGGGATGGTCCTGGACAGTCTGGTGGGCCCAGGGTCATCAGACAGCAGGAGGGGGAGGCTCAGAGCTGGGGGGAGCAGGTCTTGTGACAAGGGAATCAGTGGCCGGAGTGATGCAGCCAGGGGCCCATTGATGCCGGGTGCCTCTGAGAGCTGGAGGGGCCAGCAGAGCCACACACCCTGCCCTGGAGTCCCAAGAGGAACCAGCCCTGCCAGCACCTGCTTTCACCCCAGCAAGGCTGACTTCCGACTTCTGGCTTCGGAGCAGTGAGAGAAGAATACCTGTATTATATCAGACAGAGTGCCAGAGGGGACAGGCAGGACAGCAGCATTATGTGGGGACAGTCACTTTGGCAAAGGCAGGATGGCCAGTGCCAGGTCCCTGGGGCAGTCTCTAGGCCATGGGGTGGAATGAGAGGGGGGGGGAGGTGACTTTAAAACATGCCTTGCAGGGGTGCCTGAGAGGCTCAGGTCATGATCTCAGGTTGTGGGGTCCAGCCCCTCATGGGGCTCTGCGCTCAGTGGGGAGTCTGCTTGGGACGCTCTGCCCCTCTCTCTGCACCGCCCACTCCCACCTGGCTTGGGCACAAGTGCACACCGCATTCGTGTGCGCTCTTTCTCTCAAACAAATACGTAGATCTTTAATAAAAAAGTAAAAAACATCCTTGAATTGTACCCCCCCCCCGCCCCCGCCCTCAGGGAGGGACTCCCATCCCCTGGAGACAGAGCATGCCTTTGTGTCCGCCTTCGTGAACAGATGGGGCCCAAGGACTCACTAGTGACTTCTGAGCTGCCTTCCGAGACCCCACTGGGCTTCGCTGGATCCCTCTGCTCAGTCACGAGAGATATTTCTCAGTAGGGGGGGGGGTGGAAGGAAGGGGGAGGGGCAAAGGGAGGAAGGGAGGGGGAGGGGAGGGGGAAGAAGGGAGAGGGAGGAAGGGGAGGGGAGGGGAGGGAGAGGAGCGGGTAGAGGGAGGACGGAGGACGGGGAGGAGGAGGGGGAGGGGGAGGGAGGCCGAAGGAAGGGAGTCCGGGAAGGGGCGGGGACGGGGTTGGGACCAAGATTCGCCAGGACCTGTGCCAGGACCGGGGC